ATATTATATATGCTATTGTCTCCATTTTTTTGAGACATAATACTATGTTATATATTAACCTCTGTTTTCAGATTACCACTACCACTTAGGGTATTCTTTCAAAGTATTTAAAATTTTTTTATTATTTTTGTTTTATGTGTATAAGTGTATTGCTTGCATATATATAAGTGTACCTGTGCCGTGCTTTGCTCATGGAGGTCAGAAGGCGACATCCGATCCCCTGGAACTGGAGTTGTGGGCAGTTTTTAGCTGCCATGTGGTTGCTGGGAACTGAACTCCGTTCTCTTGCAAGAGCAGCCAGTGCTCTAAACCCCTGAGCTTCTCCAGTCACCCCCCTCCTTAAAAAATATAAAAATCAAGATGAGTTGTTGTCTTGTGAATAATGTCCAAGTTCCTTAAACATCATGATTGCACCATTTTGTCAGGATGGAAATACTTAGGTGGAAAATAGTTTCTTTTTCCTATTTTAAAATTTATTTTGTTTTTATTATGCATGTGTATCTGTGTGATGAGGGCACACATGCATGAGTGTGCCCTCAGAGGCTATATGGAAGAGGGTGTCAGTTCCCCTGTAGCTAGAATTACAGGTTGCTGTGATCCATCCAATGTGGGTGTTGGGAGTGAAACTCAGGTACTTTTCAAGAGCAGTACAAGCTGTTAACTGCTGGGCCACCTCTCCAACCTGTTCTTCTTTTCTAAAAGAAATTGAACTTTGAAACATAGGAAATTCTTAACATTTATTCATTTTAGTAGTTTGGGAAGTTTTCCTAAAACATCCCTTTTCTTTTGCCAGTTTTCTTTTTCTTAGTATCAGTTCAGAACTTTCCTCCACTATCTGCACTCTCTCACGCAGTTTCTGCTCTTTGTTAAAGTCCAAACCCAGGCTAATCCAGTTGTGCAATGGTGAAAGAGTGAGTGAAGCTCTAGTTGGTAGTTTCTTCAACTTTTTGGCACAAATACTTAAGTTTCCAAGGATGACTCATAGTTATAGCATGTTGTCACTGATCATGGAGCAAGGAAGAGTCTCAGCTCTCAGAAGCCAGGGGAACGCATGCTGTCACAGCATTATCTCATGAATCATGAAAAATCTTGTATTTGATGCTGTGCTTATACTGTAGTTATGATCACGACTGTAGAAAGTATAAAATAGTTAAAGTTGTATAGCATTTCCTGTTTTTATACTAAGATAATGACATAATGTATAAATACCTTTGTTTTGTTTTCAGTTGGGTAGAAAGTTTTGGACATGAAGGTCTTGGATTATTACTTGACATTTTGGAAAAACTGACTAATGGAAAAATGTAAGTATTGCTAATTTAATTAAGCTATATTTGTGCGATAATTATGCTCAACTGTAATTCCAATAATGATATATTTTATATTAATACAGCCAAGAAAAAGTTGTAAAGAAGAATCAGCACAAAGTTATACAGTGCCTGAAAGCCCTGATGAACACACAGGTATGCATAAGAAATTAGTGTTTGTTCACAACAAATTTTCCCACGAATTAAACAGTTTCACCCCACTGCATTTCACTTGTATATCATGGAAAGAATACTGGATTCGATTCTGATTTTGTATGGAGCATACGGTATTGTAATAGAAGTTTTGGAATGACAGGGCTCTTTTCTGATGCTTAACTCCTTTTCTACAATGAATTCTCTCTTTCTCCTATTCTCCTCATTTTGATCATTCTTTTTCTCTTCCTCTTTTGCTTTTCAAAAGTACATCATGAACTAGACACACACACATATACATATATAAAACATAATTATTAAATATACTCTGGAATAATAGTATTCTTAGAGATCCAAATTGGGAAGGCCTGTTTGTAGTATTATAAGAATTTAAAGAGTATGATATATTAATATAAACATATATGAGAAGTTTCCAGAAATGGAACAATGATGCTTAATACAATTAGTATTAAGAGTAAGTGTAATATATTATGTCTGTAGGATTTGCATATTTAAAGATACATTAAAGAGAGAAAACTTTTAGGTCTTTTACTGAAGTTAGATTTATCTAAAAGAACCTATCTTCGTGTATTGTTTGCTGATACTAGCATAATCTCTTGCCTTTTCTTCAACTTCAAGTCTGAGCTCATCTGCCTTATCATATGTGAAGTAATAATATGTTTTTCAGTTGCTGTTGGTTATCAGGGGAGCAGAGGTTATATGTGGTGTTGATTGTTATTGTTTAGAAAAATAGCATTTGTACTTTACTAATAAATGTAGCATATTTTGCCCCTCCCTTCTTCTGTTTTTCTTTTCTTTTTTTTGGTGGGGGAGCACAGAGTCTCCCTATAGCTCCAGCTTGCCTGAAACTTGCTATGTAGACCAGGCAGGCCTCGTTCTCACAGAAATCTGCCTGCCCCTTCCTTCTGCATGCTGGAATCAAATTCATGCATCACCACACCTTTTCTTTTAAAGCAAATATTCAGGATTTATGCTGATACTTAAGTTATTTTATTAAGTTTTATATAACAACTATTTATATTTTCTAATTGGTTTTATGTTAAAGCATTTTCTAGAGCTAAGTTTTCTATTTTTACATTGTGTGTGTGCGTGCATGTGTGTGTGTATGGATGGATATACCTGTTCCATAGCTTGAATATATATATATCAGAGGACAACTCATGGGAGTTGGTTCTGTCCTTTTATGTGGATTCTGGGGATGGTACTCTGGTTTTGTTGGCAAGTGCCTTTACCTACTGAACCATCTTGTTTGCCTTCTATTTTTAATTATTATTAAAATTTTAATATTTTAAAAATATTTTCCCTTTAATGCCCACTTGATTGCTTTTCAAGGAGAATGTCTGATGTGTAAACCCATAGTTATTTCTGTATTGGATTCACTTTTAAAAAATTATAGTTTCAGGGCTGGAGAGATGGCTCAGCACTTAAGAACACTGACTGTTCTTGCAGAAGACTGGGGTTTGAATCCCAGCACCCACATGGCAGCTAACAGCTGTCCATAACTCCAGTTCCAGGGAATCTGACAGCCTCTTCTGTCTTCCACAAGCTTGCACAACATGCGTGCACTTATCTACATGCAGGCAATACATGTATACTCATAAAATAAAAATAATAAAAAAATATTAAAAAATTATAGTTTCAATATGTGAAGTAGTTTATTTGTATGTTTTACTTGAAGAATAAGTCACAGAAGGATGAGAAACACCTGACAGAGAGAGGTAGCCCTGCTTTCAGAGGCCCTTGTAAAGTGTGGTAGTAGAAAGGGAAATCTCACTGGAGACAGAAAGCTGAATGGAGAGGAAACCCAGGAGCACTTTTTTCAAACTAAGGGCATGACTGTTGGAATCTGAGTTTGAGCAGGCTAATGGTCAAGGCAAATTGCTAGAAAATTATATTCCCGTTCAGTTTTAGACTGGATTTAATAGGAGTAAACTCTATATATTTATATTCTTATCAGTATGTTATTTTATAATAGATTTTTAATGGTGTGTATCTGTCAAGCCAGAAAATATTACCTTTGCATTTGATACTGGCACCTAGGTTAATAAGAGTAGAAATGAAGTTACTGATACCAAGGATTAAGATTTTAATGTCTGAACTCCAATATGCAAAATTTTTCGTTAGATCATTAATCCAAACTTGTTGATAGTTTTCTTAAATTTCATTTAATCAGATCTGTTGGTACAAAATTTATTAATCATCACTGTGAAGTCTTTGGTAGAGTTTACCGAATGCTGAAAATTCAGGCTTTAAGAGAAAATACATCTTATTTGATACCAGCAATGAGTATGTCATTAATATGTACAACAATGACATCATATGAATGTGAACTTTTAAAAATATTTTATTTATTATTTCTATTTTATTTATAGGAGTGTATTGCCTGTATGTATGTAAGTGCATCTGTGTTCTGCTGGCAGCGGTCAGAAGAGGGTGCTGGATCCCTTGTAACTGGAGTTCTGGATGTTTGTTAGCCACTGTGTGGGTGCTTGGAATCAAACCTAGGTTCTCTGCAAGAGCAGCCAGTGCTCATAACCACAATGCTATCTCTCTAGCTTCCATATGTAAACTTTTTATAACATTAGAGCTAAGTGTAGTTTTAAAATGGTTGTAGATTTTGAGAGGTGATTTCATAGTGTGTGATGTGTATGCCCAGCATCAAGGGATCCTGAAGCCAGCCCCGTTACTCATATTCTTTCTGCTGCTTGGATTCACTCACCTTAGACAGTGACTCATCATCTGCAATCATGTAGTATGTCCAGATGTTGGGTAGCCTTCTCAGGATTAGAGTATTAACCTTTCTGTGCCTAAAAACTTCATCTTCAGTGGCCTGAAATTCTGTCTGTTAGGTAATAATAGGCTTCCTGTGGAATGCAGGCAGAATCTGGCATTGGTCTTTGTTGTAGAACAGGGTAGTTATTGTATTACCCTCAGTGGGTCCTTGACATTCAGGAAAGATATCTTCTTAGACCTTTCAAAATTGGCCACATCTCTCTTACTTACAATAGCCTTCATTAAAAGGATGCTAGCACTGGTAAGTTAACCATTTCTCCTATAATCCAAATAGTTTCTTTTTTTTTAAGAATAAAATTATTACATAAATAATTTTGTTTAAGTGGATAGCAGTTCCCTGCTTAGTAATAGTTACTGAAAAGTGGTAATCTGACCTCATTCCAGTCCTAAAATGAACACCGTATATTTTAACATTAAGAAAATTATAGGATGGGTCTTTGGTGTCACATTTCATGGTAAAAATCATGAAATCAGATAATGTTTGTATTCCAGCTATTACACAGAGTAGTTAGGCCAGAGGGCTTGATGGAGAAGGTAGACCAGACTGCCTGCAGGAAAACAGCAGGAATCACTCTGTGCCTGAAAAGATCACATGGCTCTGAGTTAGAAGGGCAGGCACCAGAGACAAACTTACTCAGCCCTCAGGTTGGTTAGGGTGTAGCCAGCTTTTGTTACTTGGTAGTCTTTGACTTTCTGAGTCAGGTCTAAATGGTGTTTTCTATGCTACTGACAATTTTCTGGAATGATTACCAAGGCATAATGTGATTTTTGGTTCTAAGCCCGCTTTTAAAATCTCTATTTCTAGTTACAAAACAGAACAGAACATCATAAAAGTGAGCATTTCCTTATCACTTTAAGTGTTTTGTAAACTTTTTCCTTTAGTAATGAGAAAAAGAAGCTTTCATAGACTCATTTTTGGGTCCTTGCCCCTCTTTTCACTTTTCCTCCGTTGTACTCATGCTCCTTCGTAGTGTTTTTGAGTAAATGCACTATTTCACCAGAGTCAATTTTTTTACATAAATACTATATATGAAATAATAAATTTATAAATACAAATTTGTAACAAAGCTTTAGGATTTAAGCTTGTTAGAATTTTTTTGCATATAATACTGATTGTGAGCTATAACTGAAATTAGGGCCCCTTTTTTGTTTATAGTAGTAGCTTGATCTACCAGTTTCTTACTATTTAGAAGGATGATGTGAATTGCATGGTAGGTAAAAGTGTCCTTGCTTCTATTCTCTGTATTTTCATGCTGACATAAATTCTTAGCCCCAAAGATACACACATCCTTAAAATAACATGCTATCAGTTTAACTCCTTATCTTCTAATTGGATGTCACAACCTGGCAACAGCAAGTAGATGTTTATCCTTCTCCCTGGTCTTATGTAAGCATTTATTTAACCACTGCACTGACTTCTTCATGATAGATATCATTGTGTTTAACAATGTATGTGTCCATTAGGACAGTTTCTACATGGTTTCTTCCCAAATTGTCTTTTACCTTTGTGTACTTATAAACTGTGCTCACATCTAGGCCTGTACTATGGGATGTAGACCCCAGAGTTTTGTACACTTCAAAAGTGTCTTGTCTGAATTTAGTTATAATTATAAAATGTATATAATTATAAATTTTATAATTTTAAAATGGATTTTTAATGCTTAGGAATAGTATTTTACATTGTTTACATGCTGAAATGATAGTATTTTGATCCATTAGATTAACTTTATTTTAAGGTGCATTTCATAAATATGACAAAATTGTGCATAGTATGGTTCCCATTTATCTTGGAGAGTACTGGTGTGTGTGTGTGTATGTGTCTTTACTTGAAGCTCTGAACAAACTTCTTTCTCAGAAAAAAGATCCTCCTTTCCTCTGTGGCTGTTTTAATATTTGGCTGTTTGTTTTGCATGTTACTGTTTGAAAATCCTGTTTTTTCCTCCACAGGTTCTCTGTACTTGGTGAATTCTTATAGCTCTTGACATAAAATGAATATTTTGGAAATTTTTAGGGTGTTACAAAGGTCTTAATTAGTCTTCCTAGAGCTAAAAATGTAATTTAAAAAATGTTCAACATTTTTCTAACTTTGAGCATATAACTTCTTACAGTATGGCTTAGAAAGGATTATGAGTGATGAGAGGAGTCTTTCCTTGTTGGCCAAAGCCATGGATCCCAACCACCCCAGTATGATGACAGATGTGGTGAAGCTCCTCTCTGCCATGTGCATTGTAGGGGAAGAGAGCATGTGAGTTTCTCTACAGCGTCTTCCTGATGTATAGTGATTTTGAAAAATTTGACTCATGTTGTCTGTGCCACTGTGGAATTTTAATGTATGTTTAGGAATATGATTTGGTTTCTAATTTGCATAACTAAAATGTTTGAACATCCATTCTATGAATCAAATTATTAGTTATGGACTAAGATATTTCTATGAATTGATTCTCTTACCATGTTTTTTTTTTTTTTTCTTACCATGGTGATTTGCTTTAAATTCAACCCTTTCAGTTGTTAAATACATTTTCAAATCCTCAGTGTGTTGATTCTAGATAATAATGTATGCTTCAGAAAAGCTAGAAGAAGGGATTTTAAGTGCCTTCATCATAAGAGGATGACAAATATTTGAGGAGACAAATGCTTTTTCTGACCTCAGCTTTACAGTGTCAGCATGCACTGAAACATAACATAATACCTTATAAATTTTTATTTTTTATTTTTATTTTATGTGTATGCATGTATTGCCTGCATGTAGGTAAGTGCACCCATGCTGTGCAGTGCCCGCGGAGGTCAGAAGAAGCTGTTGGATCCCCTGGGACTGGAGTTACGGACAGCTGTTAGCTGCCATGTGGGTGCTGGGATTCGAACCCTGGTCTCCTGCAAGAACAACCAGTGTTATTAACCGCTGAACCATCTCTCCAGCCCACATAGTACCTTATAAATACAGCTTTATCTATCAATAAAAATAAAAAGCTAAGTGAGTTAATATTGGTTAAAGTGGTTTAAATAGCACCTGACGTGTGCTAAGTGTTTTATAGATGCTTGCTAAGAATCAAAATATGTAATATGCTAAGACCTATGCTTTATCCCAGACCCAGAAAGACAAACATAACACTTTCTCTCATGTGGAAACTAGCTGGGGAGAAAAAACAAACTTGAAAGTAGAAGATGTACTAATAGGGAAGGGGTTGGAGCTGGGGAGAGGGAGAAGTAGGGCAAGAGAGACTGTTAAGTAAGGTGGATGTTATTAGTGCATACTATGTTTGCATGAAAATGTCACCTATCAATTTATACAGTTAATATGCATATCTAATTATGATAATGAAGAATAGTGCTCAATGTATGGTATGAATTTAGTAAACTTGTTAGAAAATGCCACTTGTGTAGGCATATTTACTTAATTGACAGGATAAAGTAATTGTATAATGCCATTTTTGTTATTTGCTCCTTGAGTTTAATTAATAGACTCTAAATTTTCAAAAGTCTTGAAGATGTTTTAGAAGCTTTAACTTCAGCTGGGGAAGAAAGAAAAATCGACAGATTTTCTTCTATTGTTGAAGGTCTTCAGCATAATTCAGTACAGCTGCAAGTAAGTTCATGTTTTTAAAATCTAGTGTTAAGAGGCATATCATGCATACTGTTTTGTGATTGGCTTATATGTAAATATATTATGAAACTGCATGCCATTTTATTTTTATAATATGTTTTTAATATATAGGATTCTGGTTTGTATTATCATAACTTACCATAATATTATTCCTCTGAGTTTTTTTGGTAACTAAATTTTATCTTAAAACAGTTTTTTTAATTATATGGATTATGGAGTCTCATTATTATAATTTTTGTATAAATATAGACTTAAGGGTTTATATGAGGCTCGAGGGGCTGGAGAGGTGGCTCAGTGGTTAAGAGTGCTTACTGCTCTTGCAGAAGACCAGGTTTGGTTCTCAGCACTCACATGGTAGCTCACAACCTTCTGTAACTCCAGTTCCAGGGAAATCTGATGACCTCTTCTGCCCTCCATGGGATCCTGCAAACACCTGGCATATACATCTACTCAGGCACATATATATACACATTAAAACAAAACAAGCCCCCCTCCAACTCAAGGTAACCATTTTCAAAAAATTTTTCCGAAGTCATATCTACCTTTAATCATTCCAGTATGCAAGTAGAATAATACTCTTTTAATTTCTCTTTAAAAATGTAAAAAGATACTATTATTGTTACAATCAAATATGAAGCCTAGGCAGGCTAGGCTAACTTTGAACTTGGAGGCAGTTTTCCTGGCTGTGCCTTTTGAGTGTTGGAATCATGAGTGTGTGCCACAAAATGCAGCTTTAAACCTGATTATCTTAAAATAGGATATCAACACCTAATTCTTTAAAACATTTTTTTGTTGTTGTTGTTTTTGAGACAAGGTCTCCCTGTAGCCCCATCTGGCCTGGAACTCTCTATGTAGACTGGACTGGCCTAGCACTCACAGAGATCCACCTGCCTTCCCTTTCTTAGTGCTGGAATTAAAAGTGTATGCCAGCACACCCACTTATATCTAATTCTTAATGTCTGTACTTTAAACATTTAGTAAACCTACTTGTGACTTGGCTATGGGGAAATTAACAGGATCCTCCTTGGGTAATCTAATAAGCTGAAAGGTTTAAAAACCAATGTGCTAATGGACATAAAGGAAATCAGTTTTAAATGCAAAAAAATTTTGTATGTAAAACTTAAATAGGTTTAGGTTTAATTTATTTTATAAAAATGTCTATCTGTACTTCAGCTGTTTTGCTGGTTTGTTTTTTAGGTGCGATAGGAATAGAAAATTAGAACCTTAAAATATAAAAACATAAAATTAAAAATTACGTTATTTGAAGAAAAAAATCAGATGACATTAGGAACTGTGAAGCTAGCTTATTTTGACAGGTCACATGACAATTACATGAGCATCTACTTGGAATCTAGCTGTAGGATTTACTTCTTGGCAGTAGGCAGAATTGAAGATCAGAATATGTGGTCCCTATCACATGGGTCCAACTGTTAGAGGCTTGGTTCGTGTCTTGTCAGAGGACAGGAAGTTGGAGACTACCTTGCACTCTCTACTCTTCACAACTGTACTAATGAATATTTGTATCATTATCCTCTTTCTCTTACCTTATCCTTTCTTCTGTCTTCTCTCTTCCTCCTCCTGTCTGGGCTGCCTCTTCCTTTCTCTCTTTTCCTAATTCTTTGTATCACCTCCTAGTCTCAGAGGGGCTTAAGAGGACGTGTGCAGAGTTGCCAGACTCCTTCCATGTCTGACCCCGAGTGATGGGGGAGTGATAGGAAGAGTTGGAGAAGTGTTTCAGGCTGCCTGGAATTCTAGAATTGCTTGGCAAAGGTGTTGGTTGTCATCAGTCCCATGTGTCTGTTTACTTGATGTGTTCACTCTGGCATTCAAGAGAAACTTGTACCTTTTGCTCAGATTCCATCATGGCCTCCATTTCTGTTCCCTGTGGTACACGATTGAGAGTTTCATTTTTATGACTCCTGCAACTACATGAAATCTTCAGTTTTGTTTTTGTTTTTTTTAATCCCCCAAACAACAACAACAACAACAACAACAACAACAAAACCCTTGTCTCTGGATTTCCTTCAGCTCAGTTATAGATCTTTTAAATATTGTTTGGTCCTTAACCAGGCATGGTGGTGCACACCTTTTATGCTAGCACTTGGGAGGCAGAGTCAGGCAGATCTTTATAAGTTCAAGCCAGCCTGGTCTACATATGGTAAGCCAAGGCTACAGTTTGAGACTCTGTCTTAAAAAAAAATAAATAAATAAAAAACCAATAAAGTAACTAAAATTTGGTTGGCCCTCATTTTCTGTCTTAGAAAATTAGAGTGAAACAAAACCCAATCAAAGAAGTTTTTACCCTCTATAAATATTTTTAGATTCATTAATATATTAAAAACATGTTTTTCTTGAGTTATAGTCATTGTCCCTTAAAACTGTCATTGAGTATTAATTAAAAATTTTATTGAAATAAGTAAAAGTTTGTATGCTTTGGTTGACTTTGTTTGCTCTGTCCCTTCTGTGCCCCAAATTCACTCATGCATTATTTTTGTCTCAAATCACCCAAAATTTTCCTAAAATGAATGATCGTATCTTGACTTCCTTTTTCTTTTTAAAGTATACACCACCCCCCCAAATCAGTTAAAGTTATCTTTGATTTCTGATATGGTAGTCTAGCATTTATGCAGGGCTAAATGAAGAAGTATATTAGTAGAGAGTTTATTTTTAGGCTGTAGTTGGGGAATCTCAGGAGGATGCAGAGAAGTTTTTCTTAACCAATCCTTGTTTTAGTTACTAGTTATATTGAGGTTTGCATCAGTAGGATTATTAGATGAGCATAAATCAAGTAAAGTATAAAATATTACCATGACTTGGTAACAGACAACAGCAAATAGTAAAATAGTGTACTAATGTGTACTTACATTGTTATATGGAGTACATCTAAGAATAAGTTAGTGGTAATATTGTCTAGAAGTACTGCTAGTGTTTGGAGTATTCAGAATATACATCTTTATGAATACTCTTATGGAATGTTATAAAATAAACTTAACTAATGCCCCAAAGGTGACTGCTGCTTTTATAAAGAACAGTTAGTTACTGCTGGAAATTAGGCACTGCCTGGTGTTAGAGCCACAGAGGTGAAGGAAGCTTATTCCTTCCCTTAAAAACTTATACTCTGTTATTTAAAGCTGTCTAACATTTGGTATAAAATTTGTATTACTAGCAGATTCAACAAATGTATGGGAGGATGTGGAAGAAATTAATGATGTCTCAGGGGAAGTCTGAATGTCTCTAAAAATACTTCTAAAAATATGTTTGTGTTTCCTCCTCTTCTTCATATAAATTCTTCATATGCCCCTTGAGTATTCCAATTCATTTCTCTGTGTCTGTGTATAGGGCATATGCATTTTCAAGCTCTGACTTGTTCTCTTATTATATCTATCATTTATATAACATTCAATTGGGATTATAAATAAAATTAGAGAGCTTTAATCTGATACGCAGTACTATTTTTTTTGTATTTACATTATGCAATCTGTTTACCTTTTTTACTCAATTAATGCATGTATACAGAATTTAAAAATCTTTCCAGTTTCTTTATTTGCACTGGAGTCAGACTATTTCTGTATTAGCATCATTTATTCAGCTTAACTTGATAAATGTGAAATTTGATTGTGCAAAGAGAGACAGATGATTTCCACTATATGGTAGGGAAGATGAATAGCAGTTGAAACTGTATCTTCCAGGGCCTAGAAAGAAAGTATTCACAGATCTGAATGAAGTTTTATTTAAGTATTTTACTGGTACTTCTTTCCAATCTGGTTCTAGTTCCTGAAGCTGTTATGTTTTTACAATGCTGTCTAGCATCCATTTTACCTACAAAACATCTACTTACATACTGACCTCGGGGTGACCTTTCTGAAGATAACTTTTCCTCTCTTTAGACATTATTCTAAAATAATTCAACATAGTTATCCTGCTTTGATGGCCTTTGAAGAAATTGACCATGTCTTTTGCATCTCATGTGTTAATGTACCTTGAAGTCTGTGGTAAAGCGTGCTTGTTCAAAAAGGATAAAAAACCAAAGGTTAAAAGTACATAAATTGTTTATGGTTACTTATATTTGTTTGGAGCAGAGTAAGAGATAGCAATAAATTATGTACCAGACGGAATTTACATGGTATGTATCTGTTTTTAAATAAAACTCTTGCTTGTTCAAGGTAGAGAAACTGCTTGGTTGGCTCAGTGATACAGACAATGGTGCTGTCCTGTGTCCTGTCAACCTCTTTGTATGTCTAATGAGTTTTGTTTGATCTGTAGCCTTGTTCTGGAAATTGCCCTGACTGATTCCATCCTCCATACTGACTGTTTTGAGCGTTTTGTTTTTGTTTTTGTTTATTGTGTATCTACTTTATTCCTTCTTACGCCTCTACCATCTAGCTTACAACATTTTTGACATTTGTACCTCTGTTTGGAATTTCTCTGTGGCTCATTCCAATGGTGGTTTCAGCCCTTTGTCATCCACCCTATTGTGGAAACTTGCTCCTTTTCAAACCCTCCAGGTAGTAATTGTATTACTAAAGATAACTTTGTTGATGTAGGAAAAAGTTTTGATAATTGGGAAGAGAATAACAAAATGAGCTTATAGTATCTGTTTTTCTAAACATCAGAATTGAATCTGTGGCATGAGGCTGGGGACACATCTTCAGATAAATGTCTTTATATGGATGTGTTTAAACCAAAGGTTGAGTGGTATTTCTTATGTATAATGATGCCTTTGGAGCCAAGAAGAGAATATTTCAGAGACAATTCGAATTGCAAGCTTGTTTACTGGTTGTATAAGGTACTTGAGCAGTCACTGTCCCTTTGGGGAAACTGGTTTCTGTGTTTCCTGTGTTTCTATTTTGATCCCATTCCTCATTCTTCACTCTTTCCATACTTCCAGGATTCCACAATCTTCTTGTTTTCCTTCTCCCTCTCTGGTGCCCATTCACTGTAATGTATTTCCATGACCTATAAACTAAAATCTTTACTTGAAATGCTGTCTTTTCTCTTTTCTACTCAGATGATTTATTTGGAGATCTTGGTTTTCACATACTATTGCTATAGTAGTAGTGTCTTCTATATCTGCTTTCCTCACTTTTTCTTTCTTTCTTTTTTTTAAATTCAGATCATAATAGGTATTTCTAACTTAAGAATTCCAAGGCCAGATGGATCTGGTGGTATAGTCCCATAATTATATAGCTGGTTGGGAGGCTGAGGCAGGAGAATCACAAGATCATAAATTGAAGGTCTGCCTGAGCAGCTCTGTCTGAAGAAAAGAATAAATGAAAAGAAAAAACAAACAAACAAACAAAGAAACAAACAAAGAGGCCAGGGGTGGTAGTTAAGTGGCCCATAGTTACCTAGAATGTGGAAGGCCCTAAGCTCATTTTCCAGTATTGGGGTTAGAGGTGTGGTGGAGATCCTGATGTTGTCAAACATGTGGCCTTACTGTTACATTCCATGACCATTTTACCCAGGACAAAGACCTTGAAATAGTCTTGGCTTTTTTCCTGTCATAGGATGTTTTTCTTCTACTTATGTCGTTTTTTGCAGTGTGGATCAAGTTGGTCTCTCATGCTGGCCTCAAAGTCAGTTTTCTGTATATCTCAAAATGGGTGGTACAGGTTTCTGTCTCCTGAAGGAACTCTTTGTTGTTTACTTGGGTTACAGAATTCTTTATCTAGGAAAAATCAATATGTAAAGAAAACCAATATGCTTTGATATATGTTTATATTTACAGGCATGTTCGTGTGATTTAAGTAACTGAAGACTGATTATAGATCATGATGATGACAGATTGCCATCAGAACTGGAAAAAATTCTTACAAATTCGACTTCAATTAATTTCTTACTTTTCCTTCTAGGAAGTTACCTTTATCAATATTTCCCAGAAACTATTTTCACTATCTTTGCCTTCTCTTCAATTTCCTGCCACTATTATCTACCATATGTACTTTCTACTTTGGCTATTTTTTTAAATTTGTTTATTTTTACTTTGTGTGTAAGCACACTCATGTCATGCAGTGGCTGTGGAGGTCAGAAGAGGGTGTTTATGCCCTGAACTGGAGTTACGGATGGTCATTAGTTGCCGTGTAGGTGCTGGGATTCAAACCCAGGTCTTCTGCAGGACCAGCCAATGTTCTTAACTTATGAGCCCTTCTACTTAGGCAATATTTTATAGTAATTTTTTATTGCTTATTTTTGCTGCTTTCATGGAGTTACCTAATTTGCATTTTGCTAGAACCTTGGTGACTGAGCCTGGTTTAGTTTTTCTGAACATAGAGAAACATACACACACACACACACACACACACACACACACACACACACACACACACAGTGAGTTTAGTTTTTCTGAATATAGAGAAACATAGACACACACACGGGGTGGGGGAAGATCTTTGAAAATTACCTGGTATTGCTAAAAAGAAAAGTGTTGTATCTACCAATTAAGGAACAGCAAAGGAATGTAAAGAAAACATTTTAAACTTGACTTTTTGACATGAACTAGTTACAGCTGAGTAATTACTGGAAAGATTTTTACACTTTAAAAAAATTTTTTGGAGTATGTTTTCTTTTTCCTTCTTTATATTCTGCTATATTTCCCACCTCTACTTTAAACAGTCTTAAGTTTTGACAGTAGAGGCATGCTGGTCAGGGCTTAGTGCTTAGATATTAAATATAACAATTACTACATATTTCAACCAGCAGGAATTGAGACCCCTGCTTGGAGTCTTAATCCAAAAACATAATTTTAAATTTATGTAAACCTAGCCTTAAGGGATGGAGAAAAGACAAGTTGGGGAAAAGCATGAGGTTAAACATATTGATCAGTAGTCTAGTAGTTCTTTCTAGACTTGGAATAGAATGTAGACATAGAAAAATAACATATTCAACACCAACAAAAAATACTTTTTTATGGAGAATCTCTTTTGCTTCTTTTGCATGGATTGTTGATTGTGAAAGGTATATTTCATCCAGGGATAAACTGTGAAGAATTTGAAAATAGGAATGCTATACCCAAATTGAAAATTTCATGATTAAAAGAAAAAGTTGTTTTCTATGTATTAGGGATTTGCAAGATATATAATTTATTTTGTGATACCAAACATAATGCACAGTAATTTTTAATTTTTTGCTGACTCTTAAAGCTATTGCTTAGAAATTAAATTTGTGTCCTTCATTATGTAATGCCCTTACATAGTTTTATTATGACAACCTTATCACCTATATTCAGAACCCTATGGATCTTAATGTCTTTGGGAATTTAGGGTTCTTCTGAAGAATGGAAAATTGCCCTACCATTTTATTTTAGATGCTATCCACCTGGCAACAGACATTAGTAGCTTTCAGTTATGATACTTTTATTTTGTATTGTATATGTGTGGAATGATATTGGACAAGACTGAATTTTAGTTCTATGTGAAGTTGTTGTGAGGGGACATCAAAGGAGAATGTTCTCCCGAGGCCTTTTTTCACATCAGCCTCCAAATAAAGGAAACAGAAAAAAAGGTAATGAAACTGTTTTTCTAGAACATATAATTAACTAAAATATTTTACTTAAAATTATTTTAAAAGGTTTTCCTGTGAGAGAAGATATTTGATAATACTTGACTAAAACCTGATTTCTTTCTTTTTTGGTAACTTTGTTTTAAATGCTGAAAACCATGTCTAAATCTTGCTGTGTAAACTTTTGTAGGTATCTTGTATGCAGTTCATAAATGCCCTTGTTACATCTCCAGATGATTTGGACTTCAGGCTTCACATCAGAAATGAATTTATGCGTTGTGGATTGAAAGAGATATTGCCAGTAAGTGCCCTGCAATCTCCTCATTAATATTTAAATTAGAAGAGTACTTGAGTGGGGGAAATTTAGATAAATTACCCTCAAGAATAATTTATCTGTGGGAAAAGGCTTGAGTATAAAAAATCTATTTTTGCAATATAGATAATAGGATTTGAGTATTATTTAATATTTTAAATATTTCAGTGCTATAACAGTTGGTTTATTGTTATTCATTAATTTTTTGCCTGATTGAAAATAAAATCTTCATAATTTTTATTTAATACTGTAGAATTTAAAACATATTAAGAACGATGGCTTGGATATACAACTTAAAGTCTTTGATGAGCACAAGGAAGAAGATTTGATTGAGTTCTCCCATCACCTTGAAGATGTTAAAGCTGAGCTTGAATATCCTTTTGTTCTGAATTTTAGTCAAAGAATATGTAAAATTATTGTTAAATCTAAAATAACCTACTACACACACCCCACAGAATATTTAACTCATTTCTATGTAAACTGTATGAAATCAATCCTTTATGCATTAGAAAGATGTTATTTTATTAGCTTAGGTTTTATTGGTTAGTATACCAATGGAAATGCATGTTAAAATTAGTAAAATGATTCTGTTTGGCCTGGTTCTTTAGTATGTGTGCAATCTGTTCTTTTAATGGCTATCACTTCCTACCTTTTTTTTGGAGGGTGTCTTTTTAGAGATAGGGTCTTCCAGCTCCAGCTGGCCTGGAGCTCACAAAGATCTGCCTGCCTGTACTGAAATTAAAGGCGTGCGCCACCATGCCCAGACCACTTCCCGCATTTTTAATATGGATACTAGATAGCCTCAACCATGAACTGCTCCTTTCTTGTGCACTGCTTCAAAGCAGTGGAGGCCCCATGTAAACTGATGGACCTGCAAATGTCTGTACTGTTTCTAAGACCCACCAGAATCCTATCCTTTTCTATGTCTTCTTTGTAATACATTATGCCTTTTGGTCAGGACATCCTTAGAACTCAATGTGGTGTTCTCAACTAGTTGCCACCTAGGCTCCCACAATAATCACATTGAGTTGGGGAGATTGTAAATGGGAAGAAATTATCGTGTCAAGTTTCCATCTCTGGAGTTTATCCCTATCCTCAATTCCTAGACAGCTGTTAAAACAATTTCTAGATAGATATTTGAAGACAAGTGTTCAAAGCCTTATACAGTAGATTCTGTGTTATGTTAGCTGTTTGGTATATGGTTTGAATAAGTATATATGGTCCTTAATCAGCTCACTGAAGCTTCTGATGTTTACAGTATGGTGTGGGACACAGTTAAGGAAACAAGAGCAGAGGGATATTTTGTTTCTATTCTTCAACATCTTTTGCTCATTCGAAATGATTACTTTATCAGGTAAGGAGTTATATTCTGATTTTTTTAACCTGGTAAAACTATTAGTTGTGAAATTTACATGATAATTTGTTTAGATAAAGCAGAATTAATTTTTTCCCTAATCTGATCTGTGGAATGTATTGTTTTTAATAGGCATGTTTTGATAGATGTTGGTAAAAAAATATTACTCTTGTCTTTTAAGCTCTATTTTTTGGTTTTATCTTTTGAATAAAAGTGAAATCATCAACAAATTGTTGATATGATGAATAAATTTTGTGGGTATTCTTTAGTCATCAGGAATGCTATTCATAGGTTGTTTTTTATAAGTTGTAAGCTGAGTGTTAAACATTGATTTTTATTAGTGTCTAAATAGCTAGAAATACCTTAATAATAAATGTGTTTTAATATTTCTAATGTATCAGAAAAGATATACATGTGGCTTTTCAAGCCTCATTTTATCTTGGGTACTTGAACTTGACATACTGATTGTTGTTTGCCTGCCTACCTTATGTAGACCATAATGTGGCTATAGATAGATAAGAGTACCTAACTGGCTGTCTTGTGAAGATGAAGTATGGCAATGTGTATAGAACTCGGAGTTTAATTCCTGACACATAGTATATGCTGAATAAATATTTGCAAATTTTCCACTTTCGTGAAAAAATTAAGATCTTCAAATATAACATAATTATGTTGTCATCTATTTAGGTTTACAAGAATTTCATATTTAGGTGGTACTGAGTTTTTTTCCCATTTGTTTCAGATAGTTTGTTAGGAAAGCCTCATTTAGATGGCACACTTGGGTGATGCTACATATTAGATTTAGGAGAGCAGAAAAAGGAAGGACTTAAAAGAAATAAGAACTAGAGCCAGACCTGCAACAGGCAAGGAATATGTCCTCTTTAATTCAGGAGAACATAGCAAAGGGCTGGTGCTGTCCATGGAAAAAGACATCAACAAACATAAGCAGAACAGTCTGGTCCTATATTTGAACTCTGCTAACCGTAGCTGTAGGAATTTGCTCAGTGTCAAGTGTCAGGCATCAGTGTCCTTGGGGTACTTGAGGTTGACTCTGCATTCTCTGTAATAATCAGTTGATAAGGCCAGGCCTCCAAAGCAGACTATGGCACAGCAGGAGTTAAGTGCCTCTGTAACCAGTCTCTGTCAGCCAGGGAAGTGACCAGTTGATAAGGCCTGATCAAAGGCCAAGACACCATTTGGCCACCCTAAGGAATTTATGTAAGGAAGCTTATGACTTTCCTACAATTTACACAGTCATGCAAAACAAATTAGTTAAAAATATTTTTGTATACTGTTAATTACAGCCGTATATTTTTATTCTAAATTGATTTAAATGAAATAAAACTTAACTTTACTCTCCTATTCTCATTGATTTTTTGATTATCACGTGACTGTTCCTGTCATTAGAAACTACTCCTCAGCTTAAATTGGCTTCATCTGCAAAATATTTTTTTTTGTATTTTTTTTATTTTAACCTTTAGTTTAAGGTAGATATTCTTTTTATTTATTTATTTATTTACTCATTTTTGGTCTTTATTGAGACAGGGTCTTCCTGTAGCCCCAGTTGTCCTGGAACTCACTATGTAGACCAGGTTGGCCTTGAACTCACAGAGATCCACCTGCTTCTGCCTTCCGAGTGCTGGGATTAAAGGCATGTGCCACCACGCCCGGCTCAGGTAGAAATTCTTAAGTTATTAGAAATGGAGATAAAGAGACTGGAGAGATGGTTCAGCGGTTAAGAACACTGACTGTTCTTGCAGAAGACCTGGGTTCGAATCCCAGCACCCACATGGCAGCTAACAACTTTCCCCATAACACCAGTTCCAGGGGATCTGATGGCCTCTTCTGTCCTCTGGGGGCATTAGACAACACAGGTGCACTTACCTGCATCCAGGCAGAACACTCTTACACATAAAATAAAAATAATAAAATTTAAAAAAAAGAAATGGAGATAAATGGAACTGTAGTGACAACACGATCTTTGAATATTTTACTTTGATTTTTGCACATTGCTGTTATATTGAGATTTTCTAGTATTTTAAAAATCAGATGTATTAATTTGGTTTTATTTAAATTACAGTATCAGGTTTTAGTTTTTTCCGCAATTGAAGAACTTCTAGTCTAAATTTTTAGAAGTTTTTTTATGCTTTGGTTTATATTAATAAGATGAATCAGTTGTAGCCAGTTGAGTAGCTGATGAGCTGAGGACTTCCCTTAAGCACCTATCACTTCATCACAGTGATTGTTTTAATGTAAATAAATGTCTGACTTTTATTAGATAAATCATCTTCAAAGCATAGTATTTTCCTAAAGCATTATAAAAATTGACATGAAGTCATTAGAAAGAATGTAATGACAGTTGAATTTACTTTCCACATTATGCCACCTGTTGAAATTACGTTAATAATCTATTGTGGAACTTAAATAGAGTTAACAAAAGTAGTATATTGTGTTGATATAAATTTATACTAATTAACTCAGTATATGTTTGCTTTTTGGTTTTAGACAGCAGTACTTCAAATTAATTGACGAGTGTGTTTCACAGATTGTATTGCATAAAGATGGAGTGGATCCAGACTTTACATATAGAAAAAGACTAGATTTAGATTTAAGTCAATTTGTGGGTGAGTATTTCTCTGTTGTTTAAGTAGAAATGTCTGGACTTTTATTCCATGAGTTAACTCTAAGGTATTGGTTCTTCTTTTGGCTGTAGACCTCCTGATACACTTAGTGTTCTTTTAGGTAATCTTGAAAGAACTATTTTCATAAAATTACCAAACCTTCTATTTGCCTTTTTGTGTGTTATTTTGAATTGATGGTGCAAAACAATGGTTTATAAAACAAGTGAAACCTTGTTATTGAGACATTGGCACTAAATTGTAGTGATACATTCTTTTTTACAGAATGGAGCAACAAAACTGCTAATTTTCACTTAAGAATTTCTTTTGAAATTCTAATATTAATTTATTGAATACTGAGTCTTAAGTACGTTGTTGGAATGTTCTGTGTTAACCAGTGGGATACATGCATGAAGTACTGTTCCATACAGTGCCATTAGAAGTCTTCCATCATTATTTGAATTCTGAGCAGAACTGTTACCCCTGCTCTGTTTTTTTGTGATTATATATGTTAATGTGTATATGTGTATGTGCTGTATGCATGTTTGTGTGTGCGTGCACACACACACACACACACACACACACACACACACACGCATGCGTGCACATGCGCATTAAGGCCAGAGGAGTCTGGTTCTGTTGCTGAAACTGCAGCTTGCAATTTGCTGCTAGGCTGCTAGGCTGCAAACCCCAGGCATCTTCCTGTCTTTACCCTGCTCCATGTTGGAGTTACAGGCATTCACAGGACACTTTTATGTGGGTGTTAGGATCTAAACTTGTCTTATGTTTGTTCAGCAAGTGGCTCTTAGCTACTGAGCCATGTCACTAGCCTCCTTTTCCTCTCTTTGAAAGACTTTCATATTAACTACCCATTCAAACTTGTGTCCAGTGCACATTTAAACAAAATAAAATAAAATGAAGCTATATTTCAAAGAAAATGACTACCAAAATTTGTTGCCAATTAAGGAAGTCAGAGCTTTTAAGTGAAAATTTGAATTCTGAATATTTATATGTATTCTTGTCACCTTATGAGCTTCTCAGTACTAGTTTTTTCAAAACCCTGCCAAGTCCAGTGCGGATAGTAAGCCATGGTGATTCTTTCAGTATTGTGTACAAAGATTTATCAGCATTTGGATGATGTACATAACTCAGCAAACTACTCTTTTCCTAATGATCTATACCTGGTAATACATACTTAGCATAGACAACAAAGATCTTAAAGGTACAACACCAATCAATGATCTTAAACAAGAGTACAAAAATTCGTGATATCTGTTATTCTAAATTTTTAGCTTAAGAAGTACCCCTTTATCAGGACTGGAGAGATGGCTCAGGGGATAAGAACACTGACTGCTTTTGCAGAGGACCCGGGTTCGATTCCTAGCACCCACATTGTGGCACATCCAGGCAATACACTCATTACACATGAAATAAAGCAATAAATAAAAATATTTTAAAAATTAAAAAAAAGATGGGTACCCTTTATCAAGTTGTAGTACAACTTCAAAGAAAAATAACCATGGTGATCCGAAAACGCTATTAAAATGCACTTGCCCTTTGTACCTCCATATTGCTGTCTGCAAGATGGTGGGAGTATGAATAGAATGATTTAGGAACTGGAAATGGTTAATGACACTGAGAAACAAAACATTTGTTTCCTCTGTAGATACAAAACTAAAGTTCCTGAGGGACAAGATGTGAACCAATATCATTTGCTGTTTTATAGTGAGAATCAAGGGATACTGGCTAGGTGTCAGAAAACAGAAGAATAGACAGGTAGATAGAAAAATAGGTAGAATTATAGAGGTAGTCAGGTTAGTAAACAAAATGGTGAAAAATTAGGACTAGATAGAGGACATTGTTTTCATCTTTCATATTTGGAAATTACCTAAAAATGCTTTAAACAGAAAAATCAAGAAGTAGCATTTAATTTTAATTAAAATAATTAATGTAATACAGCAAGAATATAAATTTTGATATAGTTATTTGTTTCAGTGTTTATTTTATCAAATATTTTTCTTTAAGTTTTCAAGCATCTTTATGTACTAGTTTGATTAAAAAATAAGATATAAAGTACACTGTTCTAAATCCATGTGAATAATTTTTGATTCCTAACATCCTGTGAATGGCTGTATGTCATAATTTAATCTACCAATGATGTTATTTTCAGTTTATATGAATGTAAATGTTTTAATGAATATTTTTATATAAACACTAAGTCCTAAAAAATGCTATTGCCAGATGAAAAAAAAAACTTCAGGACATATTATGTAACACTCCCAGCATATGCCAGTGATTCTGCAGGATGGTTGGTTTGTCCATGCCAACTCTGATGTTTGATGTCATGGATCACTTCATCTTGGTTGATTTCTCACTAGATTTTTATAGGATCATATTAGTGAGAAAAAGAAACGTTTTAGCAATTTTTTTTCTTAAGTTTCTGTTTCTTACTATTAATTATTTTCTGTCTTTTGTAGATATCATCTCTTCTTTCCAAATAAAGATTGGTAATAGAAACCTTTCCCTGTTACGTGTTGTGTTCCAATGAACTTCACTAATAAGACATATGGTTAACATTGAATATAGGTTACTGTTCTTTATGTTTTTTTTGCATCATGCTTTAAACATCCTCCTTTTAGCATTTTAATCTTTTTCTCCATTTTCTTTATTGTATTATTAGTAAATCTTGCTATGATATTTTCTTTAGAAGCTTAAAGTCTTAATTTAAATCGTACTTTTTTTGTTACTCTAATTTTAGATGTTTGTATCGATCAGGCAAAACTAGAAGAGTTTGAAGAGAAGGCATCAGAACTTTGTAAGAAAGTAAGTGACCGATATCACTTTTGTAGGAAAGTGTGGAGAGTTTTTGCAGTCAGGATTCTTATTTAGTAGATTGTTTTTGATTCTTTTCAAAGAAAATTAAGTGTATGAGTGTTTTGTCTACATGTATGTAAACATACCCATGCATACAATGCCGTCAGGTTCTAGAAGAGAGTGTTGGGTCCCCTGAAACTGGAGTTAGGGATGGTTGCTAGCTTCCATGTGGGTGCTGGAAACTGAACCTGGATCCTCTGGAAGAACAAACAGTGCACTTAACCACTGAGCTCTCCAGCCCCAGTAATGCTTCTTCACAGTTTAGTTGTCACCTCTCTGTCCTCTTTACCTCTTTCAGGAATGTACAAGGTTGTAATTCTTTAAGGAGTATGTTCTAAACCATTTTACTGTTCAAAACACCCAACTCTCCACTTTCAGCCCTTATCCTATCCTTCCTTTATTTTTCTTTCATTTTATCATCATCCGACATTCTATGTCACCATGCATTCACATACTTATATATGAATGTATTAGCTATTTTTACCTCCAGAATAAACTGGCATTTTTCTTTGCTTTTTTCCCCACTATCTTTACATCATAAAAAATTTCTTGGCTCATTTTTTTTCTAAATAAATAATCTATGCATTTAAGGTGCTTTGATCAAATCCTCTAAAGAGGTAACCCTAAAATCTTTTAAAGATTACATATAAGCTCCAAAATACTTTTGACATTTTTGGCCTTTGGAACAGAGTATGTTGCTAAGAGGCCCAAGGACATTTTGACTATTAGCCAAGAAACTGGCTACTTTTTGGGGGGATCATTTTACCCTAACTGCCTACCAATTCCTACTTCCTATTCTTATTATGCCATCCTCTGAAGAGGTTACCCAAATTGCCAATAGGGAATTGGGATGCAGACCATTCTGGCTTCTTCCATGCTGAACAGGGATGCAGGGTGAGGCAATTGGAGTACCACTTCAATGGGTCTATCTAAAAGATTCCTAAATTCCATAACTCTTATCTCTAAGGTGAAAAGAAAGTCCTTGAATTCTGAATAGGAGATGTGAAGGAGAAGTAAAGGCAAAGATTGATTAGCATTAAAAGTTCTAGACAGGGAACTAGAAAAAAGTCAGAATGGCAATTTTCAAATGTTCATATGAGAGGCCATTGGAATTTCTTGACGAGGGCTTCCAAAAGCATCCCTCTATTGGGTTCCTCCTCATTTTTCTTTTGTCTTCCAAGGCTGGACTGTAGAGTGATGGATTCAGGATTTGCTTTCAAGTATTTCGATAGCTGTTGGAGTAGTTAGAATCAATGTCAGTTCCCTCTCAAAGGCTTCTGGATAGGGGGAGAAAACAAATTTTAGAACAACCATTTTAGAACAGTAGCTGGTTGTCTCCCTTAGCTACACGTGGGCACTACAATATTGGAGACCAAGATCTGAAGTCTTAATCTGAGCAGCACTTACTGGTTAGGAACAAAATCATCAATGAGAAATAATTGTGTAAATAACTTTTTATGTAGACTTAAGCCTAACGTCTGGGAAGAGTAGTCCCCTGAACTCTTAAATAAATTTACTGATGACTTTACTCTTTGGTTATACTTTCATTTTGGATGTTTAAGACTATACAGTTGGACCAAATAAAGCAATTTATTTTTATACTTACAGTCATTTTAGGATCTGTTCCTGAGGGGTCACATGGGCTTGGGAGGAGCTCCTGGCTCCTTTCTTTTACCAGTTCCATCTATGTGAAGATAAGTCAAAGGTCCTGCTCGACCATGTCTGACTTCACTTGGAAGTATGAATGAGATGTTTCCTTTGAGTTGACCCCCTCTTTGTAGACTGGATACTGGTTCAGGTCCATCTTGTGGGGTCTCCATGGCCTCCTTGAAGAAGAGGACAGGTGACCTACCACAAATACAGGATTTTGAGAGATGTTTCATAGTCCCCTGGAACTTAATCAACCTTGGAGGGCAAGGGGCAAAACCTGTCCTTTAAGTACCTCCGACCACATTAGTATAGGCCTCAAACTATAGCTGTTCAACATCCAATAAGGTTAGTGCCTCCAGTCCGGTACTTTTAATTATCATGCTTTATGTAGATAAGGCTTAGGTAAAAAACCAGATATTCCCAGATAAACTTTGACTAGAGATATATTTTGTTCCTTAAGTAATTGAATAAACTATGGCCATAGACATTTTAAGAGTATGTGTATATTATTTTTTTCTCATCTTTTATATATCATAAGAAACCTAAACAGACCTCATCACTTGCTTAGGCTTTCTCATTTTTTTCTGTCTCTTTTGGAAACTCTCTCCCTTCCCATATCCTCTTAACATCTTTTACATTCTTATTTTCTATTTTTTAAAAATAATTATGAGACATAATAGCATTAACAAATTTTCCACCAGTTGTGAAACTTCTTTTCCTGGGGATGCTAAGCTATGCTTATTCCCTTTTAAGATTCTACTGTCAAGTCAATGTTTGATTAAAGATTTACTGGGGAACCAATTAATTTATTGAGCTTGCTTACAGAGGTAACTGAGTGGTTCCTGACATGTACGTATGACCTAAGTATATGCACACTGGAAAGCCTTTACCCTGCATGGGTCATGTTTTCTCTTCGTAGCCTTCCCCAGATTTATATATGTTAGCCCTCCCCAAATCCAGGAGGCCATGTGTGATTAGGGTCAAATTATATACAGTTGGCTGGGAAGAGTGGCTGGATAATCCAGTGAGGGTCCAACGATCCTGCTTTGTCCTCCTTTAATGAATGAGCACAACCATCAACAAGCCCAATTGTGACTATGTTTAGTGATCAGTCTCAGCTGAAGTTGTGATGATTGTAGTTATTTCATGCAGAAGGCACTGCTGTATAGCATCATCTTATTAAAAGGACCTGGAATTTAAAAGATTTGGTGCTAGGATCCACATAGGAGGGAAAATATATGTCATTTGTTTTTCTGAGTCTATGTTACTTCACTTAGTATAACAGTTTTTAGATCCATTTACCTGCAAATTTCATTATTTCATCTTTCTTTACTGCTGAATAGAACTCCATTGTGTAAATATACATGTTTTTGTTAACCACTCATCAGTAGAGGAACACTTAGGTTGCTTCCATCTTTTAGTGATTGTGAAAAGAGCAGCAACAAACATCGTTATAAAAATGTCTCTACAATAGGATGAGTCCTTTGGGTATATGCCAAGGAGTGGTA